TGTGCTGCTTGGTATATAGCGTTGCTTCATCATCATCATCATTATCATCAATAACAACAAAAAGGCAAGAATACATACATAACTTAGAGAAAGGGTTTTAGTGTGTATCTCAGACTAATTTAAAACTCACTGTATAGCTCAAGTTAGCCTTGAAGTCAGCAGTTTTCCTGCCTCAGACCTAATGCCATAATGTTTGGTCAGCTACAGAAGAAAGAGAAAATAATGGTTTAAATGATCCATGTCGTATTCCACATAAATCCTGGATAAATTAAATTAGCGTTTTCCTTTATTCCCAAGTCACAAATTACCATTCTAGGCCAACAATGTGCTGGCCTTTACTGAGGTTGGATTAATTCCCTCATTTGTTCACTGAGTCATGCTGTTACTTTATTGCCTACTACCATTTGGTAATAGATATGTTTCCCCTCTCCGGAAGACCACAAGAAACCTTTTATATTTAGCTCAGCGACTCAGATTTGCAGGCACCAAACAACTATAATAAGACATATGATGACACAAGTGATTTGGGTTTCCTGAGATATCATTATTACCCTGCATCACAGCCCTGTTTCAGCGTTGTTATCACGTTGTCCTTAATCCGTCTTTCTCCGAAGATTCCTACCATGTGAAGCACAGTTACTTCCTTCCTCTCCTCACTGTGAATACAGGAACTGCTGGTGTTCTTTACTCTTACCTAAGAATCGAGTACTGCTCTTACGGGTGCCGAAGCCATCTGCCCCTATGCCCTTGGTCTCAAATGCCGCATTCTTCCTGATTCCTTTTGTAGCAGGCACTGTCTGCACCTCCTGGGAACCCTGACTGGAGAAAGCGCTACGGCCAGTCACTGCTCGTGATTTGGGTCATCCATTGCTTTGCTTGCTATCACAGCCATGGCACCTCGTCCAGAGTATCCACTTCACAGGCTCCCCATCTTCCACAGAGTTCACCATTTTCCTGTTGGAGATGACCAGTTCCTTCCCAAGCTCTTTCACAGCGTTTGTCTGTTTCACGGTTACTACATGGATCCCACCCAGCAGGGCACTCTACTGAATTATGCCCTTGGTGGTTTTACCCCTATTTGTTCTGTTTTGACTACACTGTTCATACTTTAGAGACAAAGATCCCTATCTTTGGATGGCTTCCTCTCATGGAGAGGTTTCAGTTGTTTTAAAAATTAATTTCCTCAATTGCTCTGAATGAGAACATCCTATAAACTGAACTCTGTAGAAGTTTTTGCAAATTCATTCTTTGGGGGATAATTTTTATTCTAAGAAACTGGTGTGGTTTGTGGTTTAGAGTCATGGTTTATGCTGCCCTTACGAAGAATGAGAAGCAGCTGGTGTCCAAAGCACCCTGGGAATTAGTCAAGAGGCTAACCGGATAGAGCCAAGAGTGTAAAGGTTCCCTTGCACATTTTATGTTCTGCACTGTGGCTCATGTGAAAAACGACTCTTTTAGAACACTAAGTGTTGCACATAAGGTGTGTTTTACTAAAGTCATGGGTACTATAGAGATAGTTATGACCAATTTGAGACTATAAACCTTGATGTTCAAAGTTCTTTTGTTTCATTTAAATGTGCACGATCTAAGATAATTACTTAAAGAATCTAATTTTAAGAGGTTCTAAAGGATCTATAAAATGTTTATTTTATTTCAAGTATACGGAATAAAATATTGTGACAGAAAATACTAAGTATATTTATAATGGTGTCGAAATGAGTGCTGTTTATAAACACATAACAATTAGAGTTTTCTCCAAATGCAAAAAACAATGGGTGTTCACTCTCTGCAGATACACAAAGACTTTCAAAAATCAATAGAGAGACAAAGGTGAATCTTAAATTGGCACCCTGTAGTCCCAAACTTAGAAAGTCAGCAATAAGTGCAAATATGACTCTTTGTCAAGTTTGACTCTGATCTGAACAATGCTGTAGACATGGAGGGCACAGAAGGCAAAGCAGTTCAATGGAAACTTGAGGTGCACACGGCTGTGGGTATGGAAAATGTCCTTAAAGGAACTGATATTCTAACTTAAAAATCATGAAGAATAGGGTAAATGAATTAGTTAAGGAGGAGAACTTGACTGGAGAGAAGCTGGACATAAAGATCACTGCACATAAAGGATCTATAAGGCAGTCCAATGCAATTAGACAAAGCTCTGAGCTTGAACTACCTTTCTGTGGGGATTTCCAGAATAGCAATGCACAGGAGAGGATAATTTGAAGATGCAGCTGATGACTCAGAGAGCAAGTATTTGTTAAGTAGTGTGATAAACATTCCATGAGTTTCTGAGGTGTACAGTACAGGTTGGGAACTGATCTGGCTTCCCAGCTGATGCCAGTTCAAATCAGTATTGAGTCAGTCAAAGCCAAAGTATCAGACTTCCACTGAGACCCATCTTTTACTTAGCTTGAAAGTTGAGTCACTCCAAGTATCTGCACTGACATCAAGATACATATTCATACATGCCTGCCACTGAATTTCACCACAAAGGGGCATGGATAAAGCATTTGTATTGATGGACTGAGCCATAGAATCATGAAAAGGAAGGTATTTTTAAACTTCTCAACTTTCTCTACCTCTGGTCCTTTGCCCTGTTCTGTAACTTCCTTCATCTGTGAATAGGTATTGTTTTTCACCTGGCCCCAAGCAATACTTTCCAGCAACCCCAGTGAGTATCCAATGCTGGACTCAAGCCTTATCTTCATGGTCTCACTACTTTCTAGCCTGTTCCAGTTGATGCATTTATCTGGTTTGCTGTCTTATTGCTATCCAGGAGCCAAGGAGGATTGTTGCTTTTGTTCATGAATGTATGCTAGGGACTTAGAATAGTGCCAGTGTACAATGGATGCTAAATAAACAGTGAATACAAAGATTTTAAAACACAGATTTTCAAATGGCTATATTTTCTCATTGCATTCATTGAACTAAGGCATGTTTGTGAATATATACTATGTAATTAACTGTGCTTGGTCATTGCAAAATAAAGCAGATGTAGGAATTCTTACACCTGAGAAGAAAACAATGAGAGAATGATAAGTAAAACAAGAATAGTTTATGGCCTCTCCTGGAATGTTTATAGAGGGGACCTATATTCTCGGAGATATCCTTTAGTGGACATGTGCTTTATATCACAAACAAAGAGACCCCACCCCCACACCAGCGTTAATATTGACAATATCATTCTTTTGCCACACCATCTTGGTTAGTCATTAACATCTTCGGGTCTAAGGGATTTCATTTGGAGAATTGTGATCACAACTTCAGATAGTGAATGTGGGCTATCAAATGAGGTCATCTGTGGAAACAATTAACATGGGCTCTGGCACATAGAAGCCATTAAATAAATGCATACAGAATGACTTAATTCTTGATGAGGGGAGATATAATGAGAAAAAAGTGATTTTTTTTTCTACTGATTTCTACTGTGTTATACCCACTTATACCTCCACCCCTGGTGACCTCTTTGCTCCTGGTATTATTAGCACAGCGAGTTAGATTATTCCATTACTTATTGGTTACTTGTTGTGTGTACTGTTAGTCCCATTATAAGGAAAGGGTTAAGTGAAACGGGTCTAAGAGCCACTGAGTAACTTGTATGAGGACACAGTGGTCCAAGAGGAGCTTGCTACCAAACCTGGCTGAGTGGCCTTATTCTCCATCTGAGATTTTATTTTTATTTTTGTTATTGTTTTGTTGTTGCTGCTGCTGCTGTTTTCTGTCAATGTGGTCATAGGAAAAAAGTACTCCCTCACCTTGTAGTCTAGGTATTGTACCTTTCAGAGTTCACACAGACCTCAGTGCTTACTTCTTTCATGATCCATAGTAGCTTTTGAAAGGTTTGCTCCTCTATGAATAACTGCAGCCCTCCCACTTGTAGGTGACTGTTTCTGCTTCTAGATCTTGAATACATCCTCACTGTAACACACTAAAGAAAGAGCTCATGCCACTTAAAAGGACAGGACTAGAACTTGAATGCATTTAGACTCCAGCATCCACAATCTTAACCATGACATGATAATGCCCAGGACTCATTACATCTTTTTTAATTTAATAAATCCTAGTAAAGGGCATTTTAGGAGCCTAACCTGAACTACTCTCATGAATCATGATTCCCTTAGATTTATTTGGTAGGTCTGTTTTTCTTGTGAAACTGGCACCAGAAATTGATCAGGCACAAAAAGACTATATAGAAAAAGTAGATGGTTCTAGAAGCTGATAACTGCTGGTGGTATTCACTGCATGAAACGTACTTGACAACATGATCTCGTAAAGTGTAGAACTTTAAATCGTAACTTTGCATGACTTCAAAACCAAAAATAAAGTCCAGCCGGACTTGTTCCTTTTGATACCAACTTAATATTCTTGCTCGCTAAGGGAAATGATTTAAACAGTCTGTTTTTAAAAGCAAGTAAGAGTGTGTTCATGGAGACCTGGAACTGTGTGCAAGGAAGTGCCCTGGCTGCACTCTTATCTGAACAACCGAGTCTTAAATCACAAGGAAGAAAGAAAAAAACAAGAGCCAGCCCGTTCTCTTAGGATACACACAGACTAGTGTGGGCAAGAGCTTTGTCCAAGAACCGGGAGAGACACCTAGCCAGGAATAAATCATGCACACAACCTTTAATTTCAAGAAATAGTCTCAAGAAATAGTTTAAATGATAAAGATGACGTTTAGGTTCAGAAAGCACACACACACAAAAACACTTCTCATGAATTCTGTTTGAAAAGATGACTTTCCAAATGTGGGCAGTCATTGGGATATGGAACTCACAGAAGAAGAAATCTGTGTAGATCCTCTCCTCTGTCTCTCTCACATGCATTAATTCATGAAAGAACATAATTTAACACCATGAGATACGTCAAAACCTTTCTTCAGTTCTAGGCTGTACACTGTATCACTTGGCATATAGGCATAGTGTATGGTCCACTTAGATCCTGCTGCCATGCAAATTAAAGCTTCCTCACTCAGAATTCAAGGGAAAGGGAATTCCACTTACCATGTATTCCATGTTTGCTGCTGGTGGGAACACTTTGCCCCGAACTTGATTATGGTAATCAAGAATGGCGATCATGTCATTCTGGGAAATGTAGCGCTTCCGCCTGGCTTTGGGGATGTCCGCAGACTGCAGTGGCAAGCTGAGGGCTGCTTCGCTATCAGTGAAACTATTGGTTGGCGGAGATGAGTCAGTGGAGTTGAGTAAGACGACAGTACTTGCTTCACAGAAAAGGGACAAAAGAATCGCAAGGCTGATTGCAGAAACTGTAATCATGTTGAAGGGTGGAGTAGAGTCCACCAGGCTTGCTTAAATTTAAAGCAAAAAAAAAAAAAAAGAAGTGTAGCGTCAGGTAGGGTCTTTACAAAAAGAGATAAGCAACAAAAGGCAAAAGCCATAGTTTATGGATTTACAACGCCATCCCTTGGGAGCATAGCCTGGGTTGGTATTCCCCCAAAATGTCAACAAATGTTGTCTGAAAGGGAACCTACTGCTGCAGTTTCTACTCATTTTTCTGTGCTATGAGTCAAACCCCCTAAGAGGAACTTTCTAGAGCTAGAGAAAAAAATAAACCACGTGACCACTCATCCTAAAATGAATGGAAACCCTTTGCCCCAAATGCCTAAACTGCAAGATACATCACTGCATGCCTGTTTCCAGTCAGGAGTCTTAGCAATCCAAGCTGATCTGGAGGCACACAAGGAAACACACACAGGTAGCGCAGAAAGTGTGCTGACAATATATGTCCCCGACATTCTGTACACTGACTGACAGAATACACAAAGTCATCCTAAGGAAAAAACAATATGTGAGACGTTTTAAAATAATGCAAGCATTAAAATCTAGCTGAGCCAAGAAGCTTACCTCTGCACAATGCCAAAATGAATACACTCTTCCTCCAACAATGTTGAGATTCTTTGTTACGCTGTAGCATGAACTCTTGTAAGAGCAGTGTGTCTTATTACAAGCTCCCAGAGAGCAAAAGCCTGCAAGGTTTGAATGCTGCTGGCTGCAGAAGCAGCTAACAGCTTTTATATGTCAGTTTGCAAAGTCCAGAAAGGGCAGGCTCTCCTAGGGTCTCTCAGCCAAAATCCAAAGGGAGGGGTTTGGGACAGAGGGAGAGAAAAAAAAAAAAAAAACAGTGATTGGGTGGCAACCTTTTTATGTGGGTGGTGGTGAGATTGAGTCACACCCACCCACAGCTTAGAAAGCACAAACTGTAAGACACTCCCCCCCCCCCTTTTCTCTGAGCCTCTACCTTTTCTGTAAGTGGTTAATTTTTCTTTCTTAATGTTCTCTAGCTCCTGTTGCCATACCAAAAGGACAAGGAAAGAAAGGAGAGGGGGATTAAAAGACCATGGGTTCTTGAGAACACAGATGGCTAAGTAACAGGCAGTACATTTTTTTTTTCTTTTTTAATGGCAGCAAATGACACAGAAGCTGAAAAGGCAGGCCGATATTAAATCAGGAGATCAACTCACACAGTTAATCTGGGTGGCCACAAAAATGATTCTGGAGGATGCCAGTCAAGTCAGTAGTAACCAAACTATAGTATATAATGTTAGGATAATAGATGCCTCGGTGGCTGTGTTCTCTGTCTCCGTGTGGTTTTATTCCTATAATTTATATATTTCTTCTCCTCTCATTCCATCTTGCCTCATTTTTTTTTCTTTCTCCAAAACACTACTGTCAGCAAATTACCTGCTTTATATACCTGCCTTGTATAAAATGTGAAACTCACAGAAAGTGACAGCAGCCGAGATAACATCTGTTTCAGGTTTAGTAGCATTATAGCTAAAAGTTTAGGCATAGAGCAGCTCAGCTAACCCTGCAGAGTGTTAGGACTGCAGCAGCAGCAGCAGCAGCAGCAAGCAAGCAAGCAAGCAAGCAAGCAAGCAAGCAAGCAAGCAAACGGGACTTGCTAAGAAGATGACACTAAAGCAAAATCCATGTGTGGCAAAGGCAGAGACAAGAATGTAAATATTATAACCTGTAATGAAAAGATTCGCCATAAAGCTAAGGGTCATTTTCTCATTAACAAAATGTGGGCCATTTACAATTAGCCAGAATGGTATTCTGAAAAGCACACCTGAAGTGTTCAGCCTGATAATGGCACTGTCCCCTACATGTTTCTGCAGGATGAGCACTGTGTGAATTCACAGCCATTAAACCAATGAGCATGTGGCATACTGGACTGGCAGCCAAGTTTCCTAGGATCTGTTCCCAGTCAGATCACCCACAGCCTGTGTGGCCCGATGCATGCCTTTAACTCTTTGTGGGTAAACTTTTAAGTGACCGGGAAAAAACACACGCACCCTTCGATGAGGCAGACCTAAGTAGATTTCTGATGAGGGCAGTTAATGGGCTGAATCAGAAGGTGCCTCTGAGTGAATTGTGATGAGATAGAGAGGGTAAGCACCAGGGTTCAGATTTTGATGAGGATTGAACTCCTAACTAAAGTGAAGTCACTTTAGGAAGACTCAGGTTGTAATGTTCAAAAGCGTAAATGATAAATTCATGAGCACAGTAAAACTGAGACATGCACAGCACATCAAGTACGGAGCAGAAACCCAGCCGGAGAGCATGCTCACACCTTCTAGACTTCAGCAGGGGCTGTGAGTGAGACTCACAGTCCTTCTCAAGTCCTGATGTGCCTGAGTGATCTCCAGCATGTGATAGCAAAGATTCCTGAATCTCTGATCCCCAGCCTTTTTGAGAAACTAATGCTAGCTAAGGTTTCTCTGGTTTCTCTATATACCTTAGGGTAGCTGCCCAGCCTATAGAGAGGTAAAAGAACTTCAGTGCCTGCACAGACTTTCTTTCTGCAAGGCAGCCAGAGTCCTTCTGAAAGTCCCATAAAAACCCAATGGCTGCATTCAAGATTACCTTCTTTGCCATGTATACAAAGATGCATTGTCCCCTTATTGGAGTTTGGCTTGGGAAAGTTCCAGGGAGATGAAAATATGAACCCTGTGAAATGTGTCCAAACCATAAATGGATTTCCTCTAAGAAAGAACTGAAGGGTGGAGGAGGAGAAAAGAAGGAGGATTTTTTTTTAAATGAACCTAAGTAGGAGATCACAGTTTAGAGCCCAATTACACAAAGGCAAAGCTGGTCGTTGCTTCATCCTGAGACCCTGAGGCATGTCAGTGATTTCAGATGTCTTTCAGCACACAAGGATTGTGCTGTGGAATTTTTGACTATTAAGGAAACCCACAAGTCTACAGGACTGTAGGAGAAAAGACCTGTGGGAGGAAGAGTAGAGAATTCCACTTCCAAGCAGACATTTTGCCAGAAGTATTTGAAATGCTTTGGAAGCGATTTTAATTTTAAAATACTTGCAAAATTAATAGGCATGCATCCAGGTTGTCAGTAAGAGAACTATTAATGAACACTAACAATGAGGCAGCTCTTTTAGAGCTCTTCTAGAGAAGGACCGGTGATGTGTTTTTAAAACCTTTAGGGAACTGCTTGCCAACAGAGACAGAAGTAGAATGCAGTTATATGCTGAAAAAAAAAATACGAAGACAATCAGAAGCACCTTGGAGTATGCGAGAAAATGGTTGGGATTCTAAAATTGATATATATCAAATCCCTTACTTGTGGTCCTGAATAGCACACCTGCTTCGTCAAAAGTGTGCATGAATGTGTCTGTGTATGCATAGTACACAACTTTGTCCACTTTCTTCCCCTCTTCATCTTCAAAACATGTTCCACGCTAGAGACAGTGACCCCACCCAGGGAGCACATTAGAAATACAGAATTTAAGGCACCATCCAAACCCTTCTAAATTAGAACCTTCCAGTTCCCATATATTTTCCTCATATTATTGGTGCGCATATTAAAATGTGAGAAGGACTAGGTAGATGTCTTGGCTAACAGAAGTGTAAAGACTCAGCCAAACGCATGACACTGACCAAACACTGGCAAAAGTCCAATTATGTGCTCACAAAGAGATTACCAGAGACAATGCCTATGATGGCATTTTCATATGACATTGGAACGAGAGCTGGTAGCCGTGTGGGGAAGCCCCACCCTCAATGTAACTGGTGGCCAGAAAGTCTGCTAGAACTCAGAGAGTCTTCTTCTGTCCCACAGACTCTGGGGCTGCTGTTTCTCCAGTCCTGTGCTCTGTCACTCTCCTCTGGTCCACTTTCTCAGCCTCTGTGCCAAGCTGTGTGTTGTCCCATCCACTTCATTCTTCTGCAGGATTTCAGACCTAAACACAGTCATGTAATTCATCACGGTTCTCCAGCTTGCAGACAAACTGCGAAGGCGACTTCTCAGTCTAACTCAGTAGGTCACTTCCATGATCAACCCTATTATATCCTATGGATTCTTTCTCCAGGGAACTAGGTATCATTCACCAAAAAGAAACTAATGACTTCACTCATCTACATGTAACTTGCTATTGTGTCTCCATTGCCCACAGAGTTAAATTCCAGGATTTCAACCTGCTAACAAAGACCCTAAGGTTGTAAATAAAATCCTTTCAAACCTACTTTCCTATGGTCATCATTTTATTTCTCCATCTCACCATACTTTATGGCATAGGTACACATAACTGCTCCTCTTTTTCTGTTAACGTTACTGAGTTACTACACCCATGTGAGCCTGTGAATTCAGAATGCTGTATCCTTCTTAACTCAGATAATGCAATTATTGTCTATAACAGTGTACTTTACAGAAGTTTGGTCAACAGTGAGATGCCATTGTATTACTCTACTAACTTTAATTAATACATTTACTTGCTTATTATAAATCTCATACCATCTATACTCATAGGCATGTACCTATAGCTGATTTTAGTAATATTTTTCACTAAGCCAGCTATCAATCCTCACTAATATCAAGGATATATATGTAGAGAATAATTTGGTAAAAAGCAAAGAATTTTCAATAGTGGCAAAAAGTTTTGGTGTTTAATGCATTAGACATTTCTACTTGTAATTTTAAAATTGTTCTATTCAGAAATGTGTAAAATAAACTTAGAAAATATTGTCATATTTTAAATCTTCTGTTTCACTATTATTAATCATGCACAATTCAAGATATAATTCTATATGTAGTAAGGTATGTTAAGCTATAAAAAATATGTATATTATAAGTAGAATAGATTTTATGAATTTGTCATTCTTATAATAAAAATGCAATCATAATAATAACTAAAATGCTGTCATAAATGGTGCAGTTAAAACTAACAGCCAGGTGTTAAAGGGCAATGATATTAGCTTAAGAAACCTCATCTGTGATGCTGCATTTTTGTGGCTATCCATAAAATAGCCAGCATG